ACCAAGTGCTTCGACGAGGACATTATTGCCGCCTTCGACGACGCCATAGCTGACGGTGTCCACGTCCTGAGCGCCTCGATTGGGTCCACAGAACCCTCGTCGTACGAAGGCGACGGCATCGCGATTGGATCCCTACACGCCGTCCGGAAAAATATCATCGTGGCGCTCAGCGCGGGGAACGAGGGGCCCACATCGGCCACCGTAGTCAATCCGGCTCCGTGGACAATCACTGTTGGGGCCAGCAGCATCGACAGGGTTTTCTCGTCGGCAGTCGTGCTCGAGAGTGGCGTTCAAGTCCAGGTGACAGACTCGAATTTTAGCAATTTAATATTTTTTGCTGTTAAAATTTTCAAGTGAATGACTTAAATTATAGCAAAAATATCAAATTACATAGCTTAAATTGCTATATGTCACTCCAGAAAGATCTAAATTATTACCTTTATAATTTAATAGGACCATTGCATTTCTGATAGAAAATAAACAGTTGGATTAATTTAATTCTTCCTTTTTCTAGGGCCAATCAGTGTCTCCTTATCAGATGGAAAACAAGATGCATCCATTGGTTTTCGCGGGTGATGTAACCGTGCCCAAAAATGAATCCGGGTTCGTTTAATTGTGTGTGTGTGATTTATTATTATTATTGGGGGAAATGCTATAGTCCCGTTACGGAATCATTCTGTCGGAATCTGTAACCGTTAAATAATCATGTAACTGTCGTGGATAGTTGATCTAACGGTTACAAATCCCGACGGAATGGTTTCGTAACGAGACCATAGAATCTCCCATTATTATTATCTGGGGTGTTTCCTTTTTGTGACTAAACCAAACCTGATGGAGGGCAACCCATTCATTTCTGCAGGCAATGTTTACCAGATTCTCTTTCTCCTGAAATGGTGAAAGGTAAAATCGTAATGTGCTTCAGAGGAGACGGGTCGAGAGTCGGCAAAGGCATAGAAGTGAAAAGAGCCGGTGGCATTGGTTATATCTTAGGAAATAATAAAGCTTACGGGAACCAATTATCTGCCGATTCCCATCTTCTTCCAGCAACGCACGTCACCTACGAAGATGCTCTCCGTATTCTGGAATATATAAACACCACGAAACAACCAAAAGCGCTCATCACGCCAGCTAAGACGATTTTGGGCAACATACGGGCACCTGTCGTCCCTGATTTCTCCAGCAGAGGTCCCAACATAGTATCACCCCAAATTTTGAAGGTAAAATACTGAGTTTATTTTGAAATTATTTCTAAATTACTTTAACTGTGTTGAATGTAATATTTTTTTTTTCTATCATTTTCTTGTTCATTGTGGATCCATGTATAGCCGGACATCACGGCTCCAGGATTAAATATATTAGCAGCATGGAGCGGAGCATCATCTCCATCAGGTGAGCCCGGAGATAAACGGGTTGTAAAGTATAATCTTGACTGGGGCACATCTATGGCCTGCCCACACGTAGCAGGCGCTTTGGCCCTTCTCAAGGCCGTTCATCCCGACTGGAGCAGTGCTGCGTTAAGATCAGCTCTCATGACTTCCGGTATGCATTTTCGCATCAATTGAATATTATTCTACCAAAAAGTTAAATGTTAATCAAAATCAAATTAATTAAAATGATTTTGATTGCAGCAAGGTTGGTCGACAATGAAGGAAAACCCATTACGGATGCATCCGGCAGCCAGGCTGGCCCGTTCGATTTCGGGTTGGGCCATTTCGACCCAAACAAAGCAGTCGACCCGGGGCTCGTGTATGATGCAGCTTATGAGGACTACCTTGTATTCCTATGCGGCATTGGGGTTACGCTCGAAAGTTCCTTCGAATGCCCGAAGAAATTACCGTCTCCACTCGACCTCAACTACCCGTCAGTTGCCATACCCGAACTCAAAAGCACAGTCACTGTCACTCGAACGGTGACGAATGTGGGCCCCGCTCGGAGCGTGTACTATTCCAGCATAGAGCCTCCACCGGGGACCGACGTGAAAATATGGCCTTCGGAGCTGCATTTTAACCACACCGGTCAGAAGATAAGTTTCACCATCACGGTAAAAACGGACGCGAAATTCACCGGCAGGGTCGGGGTAGACAACTACACGTTCGGATCGTACAAGTGGAGTGATGGAGTTCATGTTGTCCGGAGTCCTATGGCTGTTTCACTTGCTCTCTAGACTCTAGCCCTTTTTTTCTTTCTTTAAAGATCAGTTTGGCCATAAATAAGTGATGAATGCCTACTAGGCAGACACGCATTTATAATTCCAATTTATTTCCACGTGGCATAAAAAAAAAATACACTTACTAAGTACAAATTGAGCACAATATATCAGATCCTCATATGTAATTCCAATTTCGACGTGGCATAAATAAAATACGCAGTTACTAACAACAAATTTTCTCCATTTCGTAAAATACCCATCAAGTCATTAAAAATTGAGCACAATGTCGTTAAAATTTACGCCCAGCTACTATTCATAGGGTCGCCTCAAATTAAATGGATTCCAATGACCTTAAGTTCGTTGAGTCGCTTCACTTCAGCGACCAAGTCCTTGCTCACGGCTTCAAGGTCTTGGATGGAAGGGCCCGATCCTCCGACATCCTCGACGAGGATGGGAACGACGACAACAATGACTTGGAAGTGTTGGTATGGCTCATATATTGACAAAGGAAGAGGACAGACTGATGTTTGCGAGCGTAACGGAGCGAACGTAGCGAGGGAAGCGGAGCGACCGAGCGAAGTGAGCGGAGTGAACATGCACATTTTTCGACCTATCAAATCTCCCCAAACTTAAATCGTTGTTTGTTCCCAAACAACTTAGAACTAAAAGCACATAGATAGATATAAACAAGTATGTGAAATATTACTCAGGGCCTCACAAATTCTCACATAAGTACATAGTTCAAACAACTCAGATCAATTAATCCGGACCCAAGATGAAATCATTCTAAGAACTCAAACAATCAAGTATCAATTCAAGTGACCACCATAGTTCGTCAATCTCTAACGAATGTATTGATCAATGCAATTCATGACACCCCTCACTTTGCTAACTAGTCTAGTTCATCTTTGTTTCTAGTCAAT